TGATTTGATTTTGACTTAAAGTTGATGAAATTGTTGACTTTTTGAGTTTGAATTATTTTTGATGGTTTAATACTTTTAATAAATTAGACCCCAAGTGGAATCTAATACCTTTGAGTTTGTTCAATTTCAATTTTTTTTTGAAATTATTTATGATTTTTAAAAGTTTGAATAATTATTAAAATTGTTTAACTAGAAGGGTTTAATGATGTAAATTCAAATAAATTCTAAACTTCTTGAAAATATTTGAATAATTAGAATTATTTAAAATAAATTAAGTTTTTAATTTTGAAATTAATCATAAATTGAAGTATTTAAAATTCTGAAAATTTAAAGGTATTACATGTGTATTTTTGGTTTAATTTGAATTTTTCTTAAATTTTGAAAGTTTTTTTGTAATTAAATATATTTAAAATAATTTAAAAATTAATTAAGATACAAAGTAATTTTTAAATATAACTAAGTTAATATTAATTTTAATTTAATTAAATGTTGGAATGTTATAATTATTTATAATAATTTTGGAAAAGTCTTTAAATTAAATTTAATTTTAATATAAATATTTTATGTATTCAATAAAAATTTGAATTTTATAAAATATTTAGATTAATATTTAATCAAATATTAATTAAAATATAAATATTTAAATGTTTGAAAGAATTTATACTATGTGAAAATTTTTAAATTAATTTTAATTCTAATTTAAAGTATTTTAAATTTTGAGCAGTTTGATTTAAAATATTAAAAATTGAAATTAATTTGATTTTTTTATGATTTTAAGAAGATTTCTGAATAAAAAAATGATTTAAATTTAATTTAAAACTATATTAAAAAAAAGGCGTCGTGCTGGCTACGGGAGCAACGTGGCACGTTGGGATTTGTGGATCGAAACCGCGGCAATCATTAGTTTGATTGCACGACGGCCCAATTATGTCCAATGATTGGATGGTGGCGCAGTTTCGATACTGCGGTCACTAATGCTCGTCTGTGCGTAGGCTGTGTGATCGAGCGCTGTTCGAGATTGACGGCCAAGATCTCGTCGGATGGAAAGATAAGCCGCAGGATCAGATCTGCCGTTAATCAGAAGTGCGGAATGACAAGAACTCAGCTGTTGTTCATCAGTTCAACGGCGCAGATCTTGTACACTAACATGAATGTGTTAATCGAAGCCCTAATAAAAAATGAGTTTTTTTTAGAATCGGCTCAATCATTTTTAATAAAATTTTAAACCTGGTTGTAGGAATGAAGAGCATTCATGGAGAATGATTCCTATTGTTTAAAATGCGCTTAATGAAAAGCTATTTAATCTACTGTGTTCTAGGCTAGGGTTAGAGATTTTAGCCAATTTAATTGGTGGATTTGGCTGATCTTGGGCTCTTTGAGCTTGTAGACTATCCACACTTATTTCCCTAGTTGAAGTTGTGGCTTGAAACTCCCTGGATTGAGAGCTATTTGTGCTGGACGAAAACTAGGCTCGTTTCGCCGGATAACTTACCGCCGACGAGCTTTGACCTGAGGGTTTAGACTTAAAATATGGAAAGGAGTTTCTTGAGAGATCAAACAAAGTGAGTGGAGGCCCTGGGAGGGTTTGAAAAGTGAGACAATGCTAAGGATTCAATGAATGCCTTTTTGAGTGTTTTGGCTTATTCATAATTATTTAGATGGTTTGGACGGTCTTGATTAACTAGGGGGCATGCTAGGATGCTGCCACGTGCTTTGTGAGTGGTTGGAAGGCTGAGGGAGAGGATAACCTAAGGACATGAGGTGTAAAGCTTTTGTCCTCTCCTAGCCCTTTTGGGACCACTAGGATTAGTTAGGCCTAATCCAAGAATTAGATGGGGCTTAGGAAACTTCTAGAAGCTGATTAATGGAGTGGCTTAGGAATGGAAAGGATTATCTTTAGACGAGTTTTGACCATCTTTGATCCATCCCAAGCCTTAGTTTGACTGTTTGACCAGTCCCCATGCCATGTGGCTGTTGAGGTGGCATTGGAGAGAGGTGTTGAGCTGGTAGGCTGAGTTGGAGAGAGCTTAATGGTCAAGGATTCAAGTCTAAAAACATATGTATGAATGAGAAGGGATTTAACCTAGTTAAAACAAGTTGACTAGCTCAAATTTGGAGGATAGACCCTAGGGTAAGCCTAATCAATATGTAATTGATAGATCATGAATTGGGAGTCATTTGACTGGGGTTTGAAGTGTTTGAAAATTGTTGGAAAAAGCTTTCAAGATATGTCATTTGAACCTTGGATTTTATTTTGTATTTCTTGATTTGATCTGAATTTTGGATTTAAATGCTTGAATTTGAATTATCGAAATCATTGACAATAATTTGAATGATCATAAATGATTAGATATGATTGAAGCTAGATCAGAGGCAAGATTAAGGTTTAAATTGGAATTGAGATCTGTATAAGTTTAAAGTCTGGATAAGTTTGAAGTTTGGGCTTGATTTGAATCTGGATAGATTTTAGGGTCTGGATAGATCTTATGTTCTAAATGAATCTGAGATATGGATTGGTCCTAGTGGCTTCATACAAAAATGAGGTCAACAGCAGTGTCGATGCTATGAGGCGACATAGTGTTAGATTCGTTGGCCTTACCGCTGAAATTGAGAGCCTCTCTTCCAAAATAAAGAACCTTTGAAGGGAGATTAGAGACTCGATGTCTTGCAAGGTGGATCTTCAAGTGCGATAAGAAGGGAAGACACAAGTAACTTAGAGAGAACAAACCTATTATCGGATACGCCATCATGCCATGTTGGATGCTGATGTTGCACAAACCCGAGCTGTAGAAGAACTACAAACTACTGAGGCTAAACATCAGACTCTTGCTCAAGTGATGTCAAAGCTTGCAGATTTGCAGACTCGATTACTCTGATGCAACTTCACATTTCTCCTTTGTATGAGAATTTGTACTCTTTATTTATCTTTACTCTTCCTTTTTTTTGAGATTTGTATTCTCTTTATATATCTATGGAAGTTTTTTTTTTGTCAATTTTTTCATTTCAACAATTTTTTTTCTAAAAAAAATCGTTTTTAAAAGTTCGATAGTTGAGGTTATGAGAAAACATACACTTGCATCTTAAACCAAGGGTCTAGCTGTAATAGCTTGTTGAATCAGTTGAGATTGTCATCGGTCCGACGCTTTGTGCTAATGGACTTACTAATGACAAATCTAATTTGGAGTTTGAGAATTTGATTCCTTCTGTCATGTGCTTTGTGCGAAGGACTTGACAAAGAATTAATTTACGTATCTTTTGTCCTCTGCTTTTTGCTTTGGCGGGCTTGATGAAGGGGTGCATGCTGGTAACCTAGCCCAGGGTTTGCATTAGGTTGATAGAGCTATCCGTCCACAGCTTTGTGCATGACAAACTTGTTGATGACAAAATCCCCTAAAAAGTTATTTTAATTTGGAAATTAAAATTAAATTAAAAATGTCCATGAAATACTTTCATTAAAAAATCTATAAGTTTTGCATGTTTTAATTGGTACTTAAAAAAATTAAAACAAAGAAAAAACATAAGCATGTCAAATTAGACATCCAAACTTATTAAAGAACAAACAATGAAAATAGCAAGGTAAATTTATTCTTTAAATTTATAACTAGATTAGAAAATGTGTTGAAATGAGTTGCTCAACAAATTATATTGTGTGGACCAAAATATGAATTCCAAGATTTCTTTTTCCCATGGTGGCTCCTTGAATTCCACCATGGCTTTATTTGCTTTTTCCCCTTGGCTCCTTTCCCGAGGCCGTGGCCCCTTGGTTCCGCTCGGCCTCCTTGGCTCCCACGGCTACCACTTCAGTTCTTGGGTTGGGATGTGTTTTTTCGTGCAAAGTAATTATGTGTTAATGTTATGGTGTTTAGAATTCCTATGAAATTTATGTTAGTGTCTCTTGGTATTCCTCTTTCATACTTATGAATATGAGAGGATTTGTAATGTTTTGAATAGTTGAATGATATTTGATTTTTGGAAAAAATCTGTTAACCTGCGGGTTGCTTGGAAATTCTACGGGCTCTTTCCACCCTTCTTTTCTCATCCCCTCCGGAAATCCTGCGGGCTCTTTCCAACCTTTCTTCTTGGGCTTCTAATCTCTTTCGTCTTTCCGCAAGTGCCACTCCACCTGTATCTTTCGTCTCTAAGTGAAGCAACTTTAGGGTGTCGTCATTTATTTCGAGTCGAGTTTGTGTTTTTTAATTTCTTTTTGTTTATTTAATTTGAAATGTAAGAGTTTGTTCGTCTCTTTTTTCGTCTTTAGTCAATTTCGTCCGTAGAAGTCTGTCGTGTCTTTTGTGATCGAAGAATATAGGGTTCCCTATATTTTTTGCTCGCATCAAAGATGTTGGCTAACGTTATGCTTTGATGTTGCATCTCAGTCTTAGAAGTATAGGTGGAGAGATAGCTTGGGCATGCATGTAGGTAGGAGTCACACGAGAGGTGTACACAGGAGAGACATGGACACATGTCAAGGTGTGTTGGTGTTGTGTCCATATCTTAGATATGTCGGACACTGACAAGAAAGCATTAGAAGTGTTCGGGCTTCATAGGAAATGGTCTTCTATGGAATAATTATGAGAAGAGTTTTGTGGGGCTTAGGGAAATTGATGATGCATAGTTCATTTATTCTAGATTGTTTTAGGGCTTATTTTAAATTTATTAGAATTTTTTAATTTATTTACATGAATTTTCTTTTGCTGTAATTTTAGGTTTAAATCTTTATTATTTATGGTTAAATTTTGTTTTAGATGAGATTATATTTTATTTTAAATAATTTGATATACCTTTATCAATCCTATATATATATATATATATATATATTAAGGGCTTGTATTTGGATTATTGATTGAATAAATTTTAATTAAAGCGTCGTCTCACATAAAACGGCGGCCTTCTGATGACCCGGTTAGGAGAGTAGAGGTATTAGATTTGACTTATGTTAAGAAAGGTAGGGATAGACCTAAAAAGACTTGGTTAGAAAATATTAGGAATGACCTTTAACGAGAATTTGACTTTAATAGGACACAATGGAGATAAAGGATTCATGTAGCCGACCCCACGTAGTGGGATAAAGGCTTGATGTTGTTGTTGTTGTCGTCTCTTATACCCTCTTATCTCTCTTTTCTCTCCTAGCTGGTGGACCCCAAATGCTATTTCCTTCTCTTTCCATTGCTCTTGATCTGCATCACGTGGTTTTTAGCTTTTTTTGTATGGGAAACTATTAGTGATAACAATCAAATTTTATGTTTGTATATGGTTTGTTAAAACTTATCTGCATGCAGGCATATCAGTTGTCCATACTGTGCTTTTTTTTTTTTATTGCATGTACATAAGTGAATCATTGGAGTGTCTCTCAGAGTATTAATTGTCTTGTAGAAAGAATTCCTTTTTTCTCCTGATAGTTTATTATGCAGATTGCTTAAATGCTTATAATGCTTTTTTGTTTTTTGACCTTTGTCCACTAAATGGAGAAACATCTAGAACAGCTATCATCAATTAAGTTGTGCAAATCAAGTTGTTGTATGCAATACTCATGTGCTGTATAATCCAAAGCGAGGAGAAATCAAGCTGGGCCAGGTAGCTGTGATATTCCTTGCACAGTATTTCTTTCTTCTTTGGATGAACTTCATATTGCTTGCATAACATTTTGCTCAAGATCACTTGTGCAAGGGGACTTGGGGTAGAATTATCAACTCGCGTAGCATTCGATAAAAACGAATATATTATTATATAGCTGACCCAAATTTTGTGATAAGGCCAAGGATGATGATGTGCTAAAGCTGAAGGTGTGTTTAATGATTTTAACTTCAGAAAAAAAAGGCATTATTTTTTGATGTTTTGAAAAATTGCTCAGCTTTGTTTTTAATGGCTATTAGAGTAAAAAGATTGCACTAAATATTCATTAGTGGGTAGACAAGTTTCTTTTTTAGTTATCAATAAACCATGTAGATATGATAAAGAGGCATGAATGTAAATGTAAAGCATATTTCTGAATCTGAATATATGGAAGTATTTTAGTAGTGGCAGTTTCTTCTATTTCCTGAACAGTAGATTTGGAAATGCTAAATTGTGTACTTTTTGTTTGCATTTTTCCTACATTTGAGGACAATGTTCAAATGCTGTAGCGTAGGCTGTTGAGTGGACCCGTTTCCACGGTGCATCTTTGGCGTTAATTCTAGTTAACATGTCAGCATTGGAGTCGATGGATTAGAATGTGCTGGTTGGTCATTCACACTGGTTTTCCGAGATAGTTCCCAGGCACATAGAATTGACATCTTTCGAGGGACAACAGTACCCTTAGAACTAACTTCCCAATCCCAATTAGGTACAACAACTGATGCCAATGGGTATTCAATAATCAAATTTTTTTTTATCAAATAACCACTTATAACTTCTGTAGATCACGTCTATAAGGTTGTCTACCATGTTCTTAGCAGTTGACACATGATCTCTTTATCTTGTTATCTTCTGATTTGCTGCAGCAGAATGTTAACATGGTAAATGTTTAAAGGGGAAGCCTCAGAGCCCCTGTGGATTTGGAAATCCTTGGTTATAACTTATAAATACCTTATTTAATGATGGGTTGTGAATGTTTTTGTATTTTTTGATCTCCTATATATCATGGTCGCCATTGGGGAGGGGGGGGGGGTTTGGGGTTGGAGCTCCAAAATAAGATCAGACCATGCTAAAGCAAAAAAGACCATCCTTCTTCCCATTAGTGGTTATTCTATTGATTTTCCATTTTGCTTCATTTACTCATTTCTTTCACGATCAATGACCCATAAAGTAACCCGACTAGTCAAAATCTATGCATCTCTCATAGATTCAAGCCTTGCAGCAACATTCGTTTTGGTATTCTCATTGAGATATAGTCTGTGGAAAGTTGAAAAACCAGAGTCCTCATTGGCTACAACTAGGAGGTTCTCTCTCTAGTTATGGAAGCAAATCATGCTATGTTACTTGGGTCTTATTCACAGTGATCCGAAATTGTATTGAGAGTCTGTCCTAGCTCCTAGAAGTTTTTTGACAAGATTGAGTCATTAGGGAAGGATATGGATTCTCTCAGCCTTTGGAAGAAAAGCATTCAAGTTTGGGATATACTAAATTCTTTTTAAGGAAGGGTGCGCGGCTGAAGGACAGGAAGCACTTGTAAACAAGGAAAGGGTGTTTGGCAAGAAAGAACAACATTGACTATGAAATAAAATACTCAGTAACAGAGAAGAGTCAAGTATAAGATTGTCTTCGGCGTATAAGTGCTCTCACCTACTGACATAACATTTACTTAAATAGAAGGTCTTCATCATGAAAAAAAATACGTTATACTCTTAGCTCTATGCTATAAGAAATGAAGGCCGAAGCAAAATTCATTTCGAAGATCATTTGTTCTGATTATGCTGTCCTCTTTATCACTTCACATTCTCATCCCAACTGCTTTATTTCGATACCTGGAGATAAATATTAACTATATTATAATTTAGTGGAAACACGTGATATATTAAATATAACTCCAAGATAAGCTTCAATATGTTCTTAAGGGTCGCACAATACAAAGTTCAATAGACTAGCGCTAATACTTGACATGAAGTAGAAACTTCTCAGAAGAAACAATTGCAAGGTTTTGAGCTAAACTCGAGGGGTTGAGTCATTGGTGACATCGGAGTTGATATTTGTCTAAGGGGATAACTTTAAGTCAACTTTATCTAATGGATAGCTTGTGCCATATCAGTGACAAATTTTAGCATCCGATATGGCCACCATGTGTTCTTGTTCATGCCTTTTAGTATGACTAATGCATCTACTATATTTATGGATATTGAGCTTTTATTTTGATTATATCATCTAGTATTGAAGGATTCTAGTGTTCAATAATGCATCATTGAAGGTTTGGGATGTATATTAATGCAACATGGTAAAGTGTTTTCTTATGCCTCTGTGCAATTAAAGTCATTTGAAAAGAACTATCCTAACTCACGATATAGAACTATCAACTATTATTTTTTTATTGAAGATTTATAGGCCCTATATATAAGATGTTAGATGTGAAATTTTTACTGATTATTAGAGTTAGAAAAAATGTTTAAAATTGCGCAATTGGGTTTTGAGCCGTTTTTTGTTCATGAGACGAGGCGTAAGCCTGAAGGCATTAAAGTAAAAAAATTGCGTAAAGTAATAATAAATGTTAAAAGTGATTTTTATATAATACCTAAATAATATGTTAAATAATGATATATTAAATTCTTATTGAATTATGAATTAACAAATTGACATACATATCAAATAAAAAATTACACAAGATATAAAGTGACAAGCGATAAATTGCGTAAAATGGAATTAAAATCCAAATATTATAAGAACAAAACAATATTAAATATTGAAATAGCATAAAAGTATCATATAACATCAAGTTCAATTCCAAATTTCTTCTTTCTCAATTCTCTACTCATTTACATTTAATTCCTAATGAAAGCTGAAATTGTTGGCAACAACTTAGAAATTATTTGAATTGTCATCATTGAGGGGGTTATCTGAGTTGTAGCCATAACAAATTGGTCTGTCCTCTACCTCATTCGGTAGAGTCGAATGCCTCACAATATGCTTTTTTTTAATTTATTTCAATCATGTTCATTTTTTAAAAATATTTTCATCAACAGAAATATGAGATTAGTGCTCCAAATTTTTTAGGATAGTGGTGTGTAGCTTTCAAGTGATTGTCAGTGACGTCTACGACAGTTTTGGCTATGACGAAGGCCGCGGGTTGGAGGTAGAGGCAATTGAGAGGAAGTTGTGCTCGAATGTGCATGAATGTGTGATATATGCTAGTTTTAACAAAAAAATATACAAATAGGGTGAGACGTAAGCCTCACGGTAATGAGTATCTTTGTGTGACTTGTTCTCTCCATCTGAGGTCCAAATCCAGTAGTCTAGAACAAATCCCCTATGATATAAATCAACTTTCACATCATCAAGCTTGAGGAATGCTTGATTTTTGTGCTTCGAACATGGACATCTAAGCATTTCATCGAACTTAAAGGAAGGTAGTTGAGATGCAAATTGAATAAAAGTCTCAACGCCCTGCATAAATTCATTTGTTAATACTCTTCGACCCAGTAACAATCTGTTATATATCAAATATCTCTCTTCTTGGATAGTCATTTGGATGTTAAAACAAAAGTTCCCTACATAGTTGTGAAATCAATTATTAGAAGATATGCGGCCTTAAATCTCGTTTAAATCTAAGAAAGAATTATCATTTACTCTCCTAAACGGGTTATCGGAAGGCAACCGTTTTATGTATTTGTTTTAAATCAATGTTATGCTTCTCTTTTAATGGCCAAGATTCTGCACCATAAAGCATTGCAGGTCTAACCACCATCTTATAGAATTTTCTCTTAAGTTTGAGGGGAGCTTTTCTATCACACAACAAGTCCAAAACATTCCTCCACTTTAACCATCCAACTTGAATTCTACTAATAATAATCCTATCTATTTCACCTTCAACTTCCTCGTCTTTTCAACAAGAAGAATATCTTCAACAAAAAGTATACACCAGGGTACAACCTCTTGCAAATTTCTAGTGAGAACATCCATGACTAAAGCAAAAAGGTATGGACTTAAGGTCGATCCTTGACGTAATCCAACTAAAGTAGAAAAATATTTGGTCAAACTACCTTCTTTCTAAATACAAGTAATAACTCTTGCATACATATCCTTAATGACTTGAATATAAGCATTTATTATCCCCTTTCTTTTCTATAACTCTCCATAGCGTTTCTCTTGAAACTTTATCATACTTTTATTAAATCAATAAATATCATGTATAAATTCTCCTTATTCTCTATATACTTCTCCATCAAACATAATAAAAAAATGTATAGCTTCCATAGTTGACCTACCTTGCATGAATCCAAATTAATTTTGCCAAACATTAGCATTACGCCGCAATCTATACTCCATAACTCTCTCCCATAGTTTTAAAGCATGACACATTAACATTAAAAAGTTTAGTAAAAGAAAAAATTCAAACCTTCGGTTCGGGGCGTTGCCGAAGTGCTCAACGGGTTTCGGCAGTAGAGTGCGGGCGTGATCGGTGGCGGGAGTGAAGGTGAGATCGCTGGCCAAAGTTAGGGCGTCGGCGGCTGGATTCCTGCGGAGGCAGTTGGAGGCGATCGCGAGCGCGAGCGTCTGGAGGAAAATGATACACGAACAAAAGAGGAAGGGTTGGGTTGGCCAATTTTAGGTCAATTTTCGGCAGTTATCCGGCTGTTTAGATCGCCGGGAAAAAAATACTTAACATCGACTGCTAAGCGGCTGGTAAAGGCGACGTGAAAACAGCAGAACCAGCGGCCTACCCGGTGGTTATTTTACCGCCGGCATTTCCAGCGGTTTATTTTTAAAAATCGCCGGCTAAACTGCTGATTAATACCGGCAGTCCAATAGCCGGTTTAACTGCAACCGCCGGTAAACGCTGATTTTCCTGTAGTGAATCCTAAGGAAGAGGTGGCTCAAATTTAATCACGAAGTTCTTGCTTGATAACCTTTGAATGTTTTATGCAAATGTATTGGAATTACGTTGGAGGTGCCAAAAATTAAATTATTGGGGGTCAAAGGTACACTATGCAAATTGTTGCGTTGCATTTGATCGTTAGGACTAGGGCTGTCAAAATCGGGTCACGGGTCGGGTTCGGGTCCAACCCGAAATTGACCCGACACTGTTCAACCCGACCCGAACTCGACCCGTTTTTGCAAACGGGTCGGTTTTCCGAACCCAAACCCGACTCGCTTTGGGTCCGAGTCAACCCGAACCTGACCCGATTCAGATATATTTTATTAAAGTTTTTTATTTAATTCAATTTATTTAAATCTAAATCAAATTAAGGTAAGATTTACTTCAATTAATTTAAAATAAATCATGATTAATTTAATTTGGACAATAATGTTTATAATTTTTTTAAATATCATTTACTTATTTAATAAAAATCCATTAAAACCCTCCTAAATTAATTAAAAACGGGTCAAACCGGGTTGATTTCGGATTTCCGGGTCAAGCCGAACCCGACCCGGTTTTGCAAACGGGTCGAAATCCCTAACCTGTACCCGACCCGGTTCGGGTTCGGGTCGGGTCAAATATTGACACCCCTAGTTAGGACCTATGGCGACAATAGGAACTGTGATTCAACGTCCTTTTCTTTTGTGAGGACTTCTCTCATCTTGTTGCTCTACTAGGAGCTTGATGGGCTGACCATCCTGTTTATGTGGTTTCAAAATGGGTTGTAATGGACGAGCAATTTCAAACTACCAACATGTGCAAATTTGAGCTTCCCGCATCTCTGACGTCTTTCCAAGAAGGTTATGGCTTAATCCATTACCACTCAAATTTTTAGACAAAGCATGTTTATGCTAATTTATTTAATCAATTATCCCGTGAAATCTTTGGGCATCATGTCAATGCATGACAACTATTCACTTGATGTATATTCCTTAATTTAGATTGTTGTTGATGCTCGGCATTTGCTTCATGCTTCTTCATGCTTTTATTTGTTATTGTTAATATAAGTAACACTAACATATCAGTGAAAAAGATGCTATATTTAACAGCATGCATGTATTTCCTTAATGCTTTCTTATCTTAATCTTATGCAAGCTTTCTAGATGAGAGGCCAGTTGTAGATATTCTTTAACATGTCAAAAACAGAAAAAACAGCTAAAATGAATACTCTAAAATAAATGTAAGTCTGCATAAATGTTCCTAACTGGATCATGTTACTCATATTTCCTGCTTTTTGGTAATAATTATAAATTTAAAACTATAAACAGGTGAGAGTTCTCCTTGATAGAGCATTTGCCATCTCTCGTGCTTGGAATGATGCTCCGGTTATTGTGTGCGGAGATTTCAATTCTATACCGATGGTAAGATTTGTTGTTTATGGTTTTCTTGGTCAGTTATTTTTCAGCTGTATCTACTACCATAAATCTGCATGTTATGTTAGAATTCTTTAGTTCTAGGATTTTGTTATTATTATTATTATTATTATTTGTTTCTTTTTTCGTCTTACTATCACCAATTGATTGTTATTTATTTCTTTCATTCAGAGCCCCCTATACAAATTTATAGCCACGCAAAAGGTATGTCTTCTTCTATAAAGATTCATGAAGAGTTCTTTGCTATCTTTCTACTGTATAATGCTTCAAATATTTATTGTAACTCAAATTTGCCGCCCCCACCCCCTTCAGTCCTTGAAGTGTAACAGAAAAGGAAAATCTAGACAAATACATTTCTCACTAGCACCCATCTTGAACTACAGTCGTCAAGATCAAAAGAATAGGAAATAATCTATCTAGACTATCCTAACACAAATAATTTTCTTGTCTTAAAATTTTATCTCAATATTTAATGTTTGGAAACATATTCGTTATACATCAAAATAAAGTACAGAGCATTTTTTAACTTTCAAATAAAATTTACATACCTAAAAGTTTTAATGTATATCTCCCTGATCTGTCTTCTATGTACACTCAAAACTTATGTACACAATGCAACCACATGTATGCCTAGAGCCTCACTAGCTCTTTCCTTTTCATGTAATACATCCATCAGTGAGCTGAATGCTCAATGGAATACACAATTTTAGTACAAGAACAAGAAAAAATAATTTGCATTCTGATATTTGAACATAAGCAGTGTAAATAATCAATGCATATAACTATGCAATTCACCATATGAACTCTTTCAGCTTTCTCCATGTTTCTTATTCTATTTATTTTACACTAATTTAGACATGTCATATGATGACTATAAGCTTTAGCACACTTACGGCTCCTCTCTTCAAAGTTGGATCTAAATCTCAAAATTTTTAGAAGAAAGAGAGTCAAGTACCTCTTGTACTGTCTCTACCTATGATGCACCGACACGGACACGAGACACAACAATTTTTAAAAATATAGGACAAGGGTGCGGCGTGGACACGGCATAATAATTTTTTAATATAATATATAAAAATTAAGGTGATATTATAGTAAAAATGACAAGCAATAATAAATCAATTTCATGATAACTTGTTTAGCTTCTAACATAAAGATGTTTAGTACAAAATGTCTATTGCACATTTTTATTCTGTGACCAGAAATTTTAAGTAGATGTGCCTTCACCCTAGAATAAGATCCTTTGTAGGTGTCACCACAATAATTGCATTTGAATGACACATTCCCTCCTCCTTCAAAGGTTTTTCCTAACTTTGTAACATGAATCCATAAAGGCTTATCAGTTTCTATAGATGGCTCTTTTGAACATTCACCTAATTCACTCCCGCCAGTAGTAGAGCTCATTTTGCTAACAAACCAATCATACATATGAATACATCAAATTAAATTGATATGAAGTGAAATCTAAATATCCCAATAATAAGACAACATGAATACAAAAATATACCAGTCTGCTGGGGGTCCAAGGGGGAAGATACCGAGTGGTACCGAGCATGTACCTAGCGGTACTGAGCTATACCGAGCATGTACCTAGTAGTACCGAGCATATACCTAGTAGTACCGAGCATGTACCTAACGGTACTGAGCGGTACCGAGCATGTACCTAGCAGTACTGAGCATATACCTAGCAGTATTGAGCATGTACCTAATTGTACCGAGCAGTACCGAGCATGTACCTAGCAGTACTGAGCATGTTCCTCTGAGAGTGCTCTTGAACACACTCCCAAAGAAACCTTCTCTTATGAGCCTCCTTACTACCATAAACAGTGATGATCCTCCACACTCCCTTATTGAAGACATTAAGATCCCCTATAACACATTGATCTATTGTCTTTACCACTGAAAAGGATGCCATATCCGATCTCCAAAGAATCATAATTCCACCAGAAAGCCCTTCTGAAGGAAGAAGGAAAAAATTCCAAGTAGGGCCCATCAATCTAACAAAAGAGACTCTATCAAAAGAATTGATCTTAGCCTCAACCAAACCCACAAAAAAATTTTTAAAATCTTTAATAAATTCCTTCATATAGAAAGAGGCTTCTCTCTTCTTGGCCCCTCTACAATTCCGGAAAGCTATAGATTCCATTTAAAGAATCTTGGGGGAAGAGCCCCCATCTCTTCTCTTGTTACCCTCCTCAAAAATTCTACCACGTGGAATGTTTTTAATAGGCCCTAAGTTCTTTAGCGAGCTTACATTTGATCAATTTCCCATTAGAGCCAATGTCCCTCTCCTTCTCCACACCACACAACTTCCCCTCACTGTCCTTTTTCCCTCCATTTTTATCAGAAACTCCCCCACCACCAGCCACTTTTTCTTCACATTTACTACCACAGGTAACAGAAATAGTGTTAATCAATTCAACTCCCTCCCCTTCCATCTCCTTCCCATTCAACACTTCAAACTTATTTATATTAACTGAGATAAAAGATTTATCAATAGAAGAAGACAAACCAACCATTTCAACTGCATTCTCTACTTTATCCGAGCTCTTCACGGCTACATCCTCAATAGAATTCGGTTGTACCCCGTGAGCAAGCACTTCCTGTTCCACACATATTTCCCCTTCTTCCAGGAGATTATCTTCAGCATTAGAGTCCAACTCCACAACTGCATCCACATTCTGTACAGCTTTTTCAACTGAAGCATTTTCACCATGAATTTCTTTAGTCTTTTTCCACAGTTTTTTAGTAACCTTCATTTTTTCCTTCATCAGAGCAGGTCTTCTACTATTCCTCCTATTAACCATGATCCATGGTCTATAGGTAGAGTCAGTATCCATCTCTTGAGTCTTCTCCACCTCCTTAACATGCTTAGAATTCTCTCCATCAACAATCTGATCCATCGTACCAGATTTCCTAAGCTTGCAATCAGATTTCACATGACCAATTAATCCACAATCATAACAAAAAGTGGATATTTTCTCATACTCAAACCTCTGAAAAAACCTCCCAGATATGCTCTACACCCAAACTCCTAGTGGAAGACGTTGATCAAGCTTAACTCTTAAACAAACCCTTGCAAATTCACTTTTCCCCCACTGAAACATGTTCCCATCCATCATTAGAGGTTTGCCGATCATTGCAGCTATTCTTGCCACATTCACTTCATCCCAACATTGCAGGGGTAAGTGAGGCATCCTAATCCAAATAGGTGAGGATAGTCCCTTCAATGATAAGGTTGAAAAATTCACCGTCCACTTCTCCATTCCCACAATGTGCCCATTGACAAACCAAGGGCCTCCTGACAAAACACCTTCCATCATCTCCGTAGAGGAACACAAAAACCAACCTTTGCCAAGGGTTGTGAAATGAAAATTCTCAAACTGTTTCCATTGTCGTCTTACTTCCCAAGCTACAATATGCGATGGTATTTCCGTTCCAAACACCTTGATTACTAAGGAGTTTTTCAGCTTGCTAGAATTCAGAATCTCAACATCTTCCCTCATTTTAACTGCTTTTCCATCTTCTGTTAATACCAAATACTACTCTTTGAAATCCAATTGGATGTAAGGCTTCTTTTTCCACGGATTGCTTTCCACCTCATTCCCACCTCTTGCAGACATTTCCACATTCACCTTATCCACAACACCATTTTCCTTCACTTCCAAACAACCATTGAAATGAAGATTTGTGTTAACAGGAATATGAGAATTCGCATTTATCCCTAGGACATGTCCTGAGATTGCATTTGAATTACCAAATCTGTTAACATATATTTTCATTCCAGACGACGAAGCCGACGGGTCAACCAAATCTCGTTCCGAAGATCTCTTAGCTAACCTAGGAGTTACAGCACATACCTCTTCAGCAATGGCCTTGCCCTTAACCTTCCACATGAAACTTCTTCTTAGGGAACTCCTTGATGTTTTCTTTAATCAGCAACGACCCTCCAGCATTATTGAACGCAAGCTCCAAATTACTCTGTTTTAAAACATCATTCTGGCGATTGACTTCTTCTAGTTTTTGATTAAGCAATCCTCCATCCGCAGTATACCTCATTGACGCCGCCAAAGATGGCCGGCGGCCCTCCTCCACCATCTCCCACGTCAATTCCTCAGACTAAGGAGTAAAAATCGGGAACATAAAATTCAAATTTTAGAACCTTTCTCTCTCTAGAAAACCAGAGCTTCTCTCTCTAAAGTATTCTCCTAAGCATTTTACTTCATTCAAATATTAGGTTGAAAGAAATTATTAGAACGATGAACTTATACTTTATGATTAAGTTCTTGTCAATCCTAAAAGAGGGAAAACCAATATTATATTCTCTGTACCCTACCAAAGCACAAAGGATAAGAAAGGAAACGCATCCTAGGAAGATGAAGGTGGTTGGGAGACCTTTATCTCGAAGAAAACTAAACAAATAATAAATGTCTTACTAGCCATTTAAGGCATTCATTGTAAAAGTGCGTTAGAATTAGAAGTTGATTTAAGATATCTTTCTTAAAAAAATCTAGTGACAGGGGGACCTGACTCAAGTGAGAAGAAACATTTAAAATATTTTAAAGACAAAAAAGGAAAGCATAAGCCTAGATCAAAATTTCAGAAAGAAAAGAAGAAGAAATTAACAAGGCATAAAACTGTAATTAAAAAATACATCGATTCCATCGATGAATATTAGCAACCTCCAAGGCGTCTTATCAGGCTAGATGAATACATGGTTATCTGTATCTTGACTCGAAACTAGAAAAGGAAGAGAATATTTCAATCGAGACATGCCGAGTCATAAATAAATGGGGTGGAATGGCTGCGAGAGGATGTAATGTACCTCTTGCTATCTATAAAGTTGATGTGAAAATCCCTTCTAAGGAAATAAATCAAACGCCAGCACCTTTTACTAAATTTTGATGAAGAATTACATTTCCCCAATAAAGAAAGTGATCATAAGGCTAAAAAGACCCTTAAAGAAAAATGCTCAAAACTCAGAAGAAGCTTAGATTATAAGGAAGTTGAAAATATGGAAATTTCAAAGAATTCTCAAGCTGAAACTAGTTCATCTTCAAATGTGACACATATCAGCTGAGAAGTGAAAAATAGGTTCCTCCACCTTAACTGAAAACAAAGGATAAGGAGAAGAACATTCTTCTCAACGAAGATGCTATTCCACAAAATCCTCTTAAACCTAAGGATGCTAGTGCCATGGTTTT